AATGAAGAAATTATTACAAGTAGAACTGTGTTTACACATCATATTTTTAACAGTTTTTCCGTTGAATGAAAGAAAAAAAAATATAAACATAACACAACGGTTAATCTTGGTAATTACGTTATAATTTAGCGTTAAATTTTTGTAAACTGTAGGTATTTTTAAGAAAAAGGCATACACATATTTAATTTAATTTTCCTTTTTACTTCCAGATCTAGTTTATGAACAGTTTTATTCATAAACTAACACACTCATTTTTAAATTCATAAATATGTTTCCTTGATGCATTTATAACATTTTGAAAAAAATGAAATTGATTAAATAATATTTTATTATTATCGCATTAATTTTACTTTATGGTGCAGTTAATTTTATTGTAAAACAATGTAAATCTTTTGTTACAGTTTAAAAAAACGATTTGTTACATAGTTACAAACATTTATTTCATGCATTGTTTTATTAGAACATATATTTTGACTAAGAATATTCGACCAATTATTTATAACAACATAAGTATAGTAATAAGTATTGAAAATACGAACATAGTAAAATGTTTAAAATAAACCAGAATGCTTTAAAATTTATAGTAAATGTTAAAAAATGGTGTGAAATTATGATGAAAAAAATATTAGCATACATCCTAAAGTGTTTCTATTCAACTATATTTTAGTATATGCTGATTAAAAATTTCCTGCAATTTTTAGAAAATCAACTGCCTCATGTCAAGTAATATTAGTTTAAACTAAGTTCAGCACCAAAACTAATTACCGAATAAATTAACGGGAAATGCTGTCCACACAATAAGTATCCCATTATATCAATTTAAAAGTTCTCACATTTCAGCTATGAAGTATCGGGCAATATTGAATCTCATCAAATCAAAATTAATGCGATTATAAAAGTAGAAATTAGAGTTTTGGGTCAATAACAAATTATCAAATTGTAAAAATGAAGAACTAAACAATACTAAATTATTTTTATATAATAAAATATAGAACCTTAAAATATACGAAAAATTAATTTCTAGATTTCGGAAAAAAAGAAAAAAACAACCATATCGTCGTGGTGAGTTCTTAAAATTAGATACAACTCAAAATGCATGTTTACGGAAATTGACACAGCTCGAAAAGTGTGCATGTGATGGACATAGCAACCCCTCTCTACCTCAAGACTATTCCCTGAGCCTCCACTATTCAACTTTATCTTATTGGAATAATGCTTATCTTATGTCCTCACTCATTATTAATAAAGTGATATTTCTTTGTATTAAAAAATAGTAAGAGCCGTCTGTGTTTTAATGATTCAACTTTGCGTCAAATTATGTTTTACAACGCAAAAATCTAAGTCTTAAAAACTTAACGCTAAAAGGTTATGCAGAATTATTTACTGTGAGTATGATGAATTGAAAAAAATAACATTCAATAATTAAATCGAGGTTTTTTAACTGCCAAACTTGTAATAAAAATACCATGGTGACCACAATAAGACCCGAGAAAATTGTACATGAGACGTGTTTAAACAGTGTCTTACTTTATATAGAAATAAATGTAAGACGCGTAAATTGAAAGTCAAAAATTGTTTTGACCCTTATGACTTCGAAACTATTAATCGTACACGTAGAAAAAAAAATTTGTAAAATTACCATACTATACGGTAATGAAATTTCTGTTGCGGAGAAGCATAATACTGGTTAATAAAACGAAAATATAAAATATTTAAACCATTCATTTGGTAGTTATTCTGTTCATATGGCATAGGTCTGAACGAAATTCTTTTTTTCAAAATTATAGCCTTTAGTACCTCACAATTAGTAACAAGCATGAAACTGAAAAGCAAATTTATAGAATAAATGGTTTTTATATTATGCTGTGAGTTATCGTTATAAAATTATCAAACCACACAAAATTATTTTATCACACATTTTAAATCCGTTTATTAATTTCACGAAAATCATTACCGATTTTCAATAAAAACTAGTTAGAATTTTGGTATTCCCAAACAGCTAAAAACACGATAAATTCTATCATATTCTGGTAGTTTTTACCCTATTTTTTCAATGTATTAAATTGAATTTGATCTCATTCTTTTTAGCATTTTATGTTGGAATCAATGCATCACATTTCGATATAAGAATAACACACGCGTAAAGGAATTCATAATAATGAAAAACTGCATTAAAAAAAGTTTCATAATTAAATAATTTTTCGTCCTTTCGTCTTTTAGTCAAATAAAATTATGCAAAACAAATTGAAACAATGCAAAGATTGTCTAAGATAGAAATGTTTAATGCTCTTTCTGAAACAACCAATCACAAATTACAGATATTCAGAATAGCTCTTTTTTATAGATATGATGAAAATTAACTGCACAAACATTAGGATAAATGATAATTAGGAAACCCGTGTATTACGATTAGACATCGATAAGTGTCAGTTCAAAGTGAGAGTAAGAACGAAGTATAGAGATAAAACTAAGAAAATTTGAAATAAAAATCTCGTAAGTCAAACGATCAGCCGAAATTTTAGTAATCGCTGCTATTTATATATTATTCATTTTTTTGTTCACAAAAAAATTAATAAAAATTAATGCCCTTAAAATTCAGCCAGAAATCGGCTAAATTAAATGATAAAACAATTGCTTTGTTTTTAACTGTGAAGTATTTTTAAACCAAGTTAAAAAAATGATAAACTAAAGCATTTTCGTTTATCATATTTTGTATTAAAAATTTAGTAAACAAAATTATATAAAAATAATGATTAATATGAAACAAAGTATTTTTGTTGTAATAATTTTAAAGCAAAGCATAGCTTCTTATTGTAGAAACTGAGGACAAGATCAAACACATCATATTAAAAAAAATGCTTTTATTTTCGAAAGAAAAATTTAAGCAAACATTTATAACAATGGAATATTTGAATTGGTCATGAATTGATTTTTCTGATGTTAATTACTATTCTATTCTTAGCAAGCTCTAGCATTTCCTGAACAAAAACCCATGCCTTCCAATTACGTATAGCATGGGGAAAAATCTGCTAAGATTACCGTATTGTATAGAAATGACATTCCTGATTAGAAAAATACATATTCTGGATTGATAAAACAAAGATATACAGCAATTAAATTTTGCATCGTAAGTGCCGGTACTCAACATTGTAATTTAATCCGGAATTTTTTACAGTGTTTCATGATAAACTTATCAAATTTTACCACATTTTCCGAATTTCATCATATATAATAAAATCACATTTAATAGCAAATATTACCAAAATCATTGCCAGCTTTGGTGTTCTATTAGAAGCAGAAACACTGTGAATTTTAACATATTCTGGTAGCTTTGACCATACTTTATTTCTTTCATTTCATAAAAAAAAAATGAACTGCACTCCTTGGATTTCAAAGGATCTTTTCATTGGATTTTTTTCTCAATGCGATTATAACATATCTAAGTGTTTTAGTAATTTCAAAGCATTCATTAGAAATGGTGATTATTAATAATTTATCTGCACCTTTATGAATATAGATTTTAAGTAAATAGTAATTTTTACCAATGAAATAATCTGAGGGAAAAAAAATTAAACAGGAGCGCGATACAAAAGTAGCGTTGCTAAGCCAAGTATTGATAATTCCCCTCTTCCTATGGTGCGTAAAATAAAAAGCGGATTACCCTAAATCACTTTTGATCTAATGATTGAACCTTCATGTTCTAGGACTCAATCTTAATAGTTCAAGAGGGTGGCTTCAAATGAGCTATAAATCAGTGCAGACAATATCTTAAGTTACGAAATCAGCCACAAAAACGAATTTTCTCTGAAATAAGCATAGTTTTTTTGTTAGCAGATTCGAATTTCTATTCTCCTATGTAGAGGAGGTTGCCGCAATCTCGGATATATGGTCATCATAGTTTGGTCAGGAGAGGGGTTCGAAATTAGACCTCTAAAAGTTAATTTTTGTTTTGCGTATTTCTCCTTCATCTTGAGAATTTTTAATCGAAATCGAAAACTTCTTGCACACAAACATAAAACTCTTTTATCCAAAGCTCCATGCAAAATATAACTAAAATAAGCTAAATAAATGTGTATTATTCTTCATTATTTTATTTAATATTAATCAAAAAATGTATGAATTGCAATGTTTAACATTTTTCCATCACTTTGAAGAATTTATATTTTATATCACTTTAAATGATTAAAATACAAAATTTAAGAGAAATCGATTGAATAGTTTCCGAGAAATCAAATTTTGTCGGGGTCAAAAAAAATCGTATTTTTAAAATTAGATTTCTCAAAACTATCTGAGACATAGCTCAAATTTTGTAGTTAGTCTATTAAAAATTGCGTTTTTTAAAATAATTTTAAAAGTTTGTATACTTTGCAATTCAAAGTTTTTCAGATCATTATTAAATAAAATTAATAATAAATATTTACTGAAAGCTGCATTTTGCATGAAATTATCTTTGGATAAACGAATTTTATAATTGTATGTAAAAATTTTTAATTCGCGCTAAAAGTTCTCGAGATTTAGAGAAATGAGCACAAAATGAAATTATATATNAAGTAAGTTTTTGTGTCTGATTTCTTAAAATATCGTCTGCACTAATTAAGCAGAACAGTTGTAGTCTTCAAACTAGTGAGTCCTAGGATGCGTAGGTCCAATCATTCGATCAAAAGTTATTCAGGGTGGACCGTTTTAAATTTTGCGCACTATTAAAAGTTTGAATTAAGCAAAATGTAGACCTTTTAAGTTAAACACCAAACTGAAATGGTGAATAATGGGAAAACTTAAGACCACTGCAAATTACTTGAAAAAAATTACTATACCAAAACTGTAGTTCTTGAGAACTACGACCAAACAAATTTTCTAGCAAAAAAAATTAATTATTGAAAACTATATTTATTTTCATTTTGTACTTTAAAATTAAAAAAAAAATGCTTTCTTTTTTTATCAGACAAAAAAATAAGAATTTTTAAATATAACAAAACATAGTAGACTTTTTTCTCACTCACCTGTTGCTAGTAGCCATACTAAAGAAGATACGATGGCTCCAACGAATATCCCCATATTCAAAAACATAAAAAAAAACTCGCACAAAAACAAAAAAGTTTCTTCAAAGCAAATAAAAAATCAGAAAGGATCAAAAACTAAACCAGTTTCTTCTAAACTATGTCTGATGAATATTTTACAAGCTGCCTCAATTTTCCACCATATTTACCAATTTCCTCTTCCAGTTATCTATTTCCTCTCACACTTTTCGTCACTTCCTAACTGGCGGAAAGTTTTAGTCCAAAGGAAACTATGCGATGGAGATCAGTGCGCCACAGACCGATCAGATTGAACATTATATGTGCAAAGAACACATTGATCCCCTTGCATCTTGCCCGGTGTGCAGCGCCATCTAACGAGAAAATAACTACGAAGAGTAAAGTTCCAAGCAATTCACTCTTGCTAAAATCCTCAGTTTTTGTGAAGTAGTGAGTGGCTACCAGTTGCGCATCTCTTTCCTCTCCATCCTCCAGGGAATTGTTGCTCTCGATTTAAGGGATGGAGAGATGCTTAAGATGAAAAATGAATCTTCAATTGCTTGTTGTTCTAGCTAAATATTTATTCCTGTACCCTATAGGAATCATTTTTTAGCTAATGCGTGTGCTTCAATTTTTATGAAAATATTTTTATTTCCAATTCATAATTGAATCTCAAAAAAATTTTAATGCAGATTCAATCAAGAACAAAATGCAAAATGCATGAAAGTTTTAAATTGAATACTCTTCTAAAAATATTATCGTATTCCCCAGTGTTAGATCTATTTTCATTCAGACAATTCATTTAATAAAGTCCTCCTATTTAATTTTTAAAATGATTTCTTTGGGTGCAAATATTTGTTTAAGAACATAATAAAGTAATTTAAGTGATTAATTTTTAGATAAGGGAAAGAGGATATTATTTTGGATTATTTATAATTATAATGTAAGAGCTTGGGGGTCAATAAAGTGATAAACTTTGCTTTTTCAAAGGTTACTTTTTCGGGTCAAACTTCAACTTAATACTGTTCCAAGGCTGATGCTTCAAAAAATTTTAGAATTTACAATAGACAACAGCACAATAAATAATATTATATATCGGGTTTTTGCCAAAAAATACTCTTAATTTATTTTTAAACATAAATTTAAAAAAGACAATATTTGAAAGTCATATTTCACGCGTAAATTAAAAATGTTTAAGCAAAAGTAATGGAGGAAAATCACGACTAAAAAAAAAAACAAAATAGTTTATAAATTGTTTTGATTGTTCTAAAGTTAAGAACTTTGGAGTATTTTTTTTTCGCTTTTTCGTATGATGACTTAAGTAAGTACTCAAAACTCAACACTTAAGGGGACACCCTATCCTGAGATGGTAAAATATTAACGTTTTTCTTGAATTTGTTTTAAGTAATAGAGACAATGCAGAGACTCCTTGTTCCTTTTAATGTTATTTAGCTACAATTTAAGTCTATTTTAAAGTTTTTTCTTTTACAAAATAGTAAAAAATAAGTTGGTGGCAGCTCCGTGTGGGGCTGGTCATCAAAAAGTGGCACCTCACTGGCCTCATGGATTTAGAAGTCCTGAAACATAGGAAAACGATTTTGTTCATATTTTCTGAAGCATAAAGACGTTATCTAAAGAGTAGCATAGCGGTTTTTTGATATTCGCAAAATTACCAAAATGGCGGCAACTTAAAAAAAAAGTTAAGGTTTTCAATAAAAAAATATTTATTAAAATACTAATATGAAATCGAAACATAAAAATATCAAAAAAATCCTAAGCTACTTTCTCAAGAATATATTTTTACGTAATTTAAAATAAAGAACAGCTTATTTCGTTGTATAGATCATGAGAAATACGTTGTATAGATCATGAGAACAGCGTTTTGAGAAAAACGCGTGTAAAGTTTTGACTTTTGTTCAATCTTGTAAATTATTATATTAGTAATGACTAACCTTTTTTCTGAAATTCCAGGTCCCCATATATGTTCTCTGTCAACATAATGGATGAGACGCAAAAAGAATGTCACCCCTCCTAATCCGGCCGAACGGGCCTTTGTACCTGCTTAGCGACGACCATCTATCTCTATAACTTCCAAACGAAGTTAGGTACCGAGAAATCGTTTCAGACAGACATTAGGAAGGGTACAAAGATTCGAAAAATGCAATAAAAATTTTTTCGAATTTTTTAAATATTCAGGAACCCCTTAAAATGGAAGAAAGCATATTTTAATAGATGGTGTTACTTGTAGATTAATTTATGTTATGAAATATATTTTTTTAACTTAAGATAGATAATTTCTTTAACTTAAAAGAAAATTACTAAAATTAAATGAGGTTGCTGTATTAGTTTACACCATTTCAATTTGGTTGAAATATGTGAAAAAACTTACCGTCTTTTATAACTTTTACTAACATAAATATTTGTCGCTGGTTGCTTTTTACGTTATTTTTTGAATAAGTGGGCCGCTTTCATTTATGAAAATTGATTGTAAAATGATGTAAAAAAATTACGAAATCTTATTTTTTTTAAGATTTACTGAATGTGTGCGTATAAATGTTACATTTTAAATGTGTCTACACATCTCTTAGATCCAGAAAAAAGAAGGTAGGGAAGTTAGTTTACAGGAAAGGCTTTCAATGAACTAATTAATAAATCAATTCTGGTGATTTACAAATTTTAATGAAAAATTTTGATGCTTTCGAAGATAAAATATTCTAACACAAAAAAAAAAATTAATACATTTATATACTGTGTTTAAAATAATTAATGAAATTCATTATATTATATAAGAAAGCTTTTGTAGAAATATTTAGTTATTACAGCTAATAGTAAGAGTACAATTATCATGAGGAATTTATATATAAAATAATACAGGGGTGTTTCATAACCATCACTCTTGTCCAAAATTTAGTACTAAATAAATAAACATTAGGAGGTAAAAATTATTAATGAAACAAAGAGGAAAAAATTAAATTTTCATAATTTAGGTAGGTAATTACAGTATATTCTCGATATTTTGAACTTCGATACCACGAAAACCTTGTTATGAGAAAAAAATATTTTTTCTTCTTGTCATTATGTATCCACCTAATGTTTATCTGAATTCTTATGTCGAAGAGTTTCTTCTGAAACCTTGTTACGTCAAATATTTTTTTAAATAAAACATAATTCATTTTTTTTAAGAATCACATTTATTCAAAATCGCATTATTCTTTGGAAACTAACTCTTTTCCATTTAAAGCATAATTATTTTTGTCTCACTTTTAAAAATAAAATTATCAATGTTGTATTTAGACTTATAGTCAAATATCATTACCTATTTATTAGTAGTTATTCTTATGTTTCATGACATCTCGGAAACTCGCTATGTCGAAAATCCTTTAGCATACCTTCAACTTTGAGATATCGAGAGTATACCGTAAATACTTTATTTATCTTGTATTAGAGCTGCACAATGGACTATTGGTGACGGCCTGGGAAACATCCCTGAGGATGATCCGAAGACGTGACCTCACAATTCGTGATGAGGCCACTTCCTCAATTTAGACATAGATCTGAATTGAGAATTTTTTCTCCAGATCCCTGTATCCATGGTAATGCTCAGCGATCGACCACAAGGCGAGCTGTTATATCTCACGTACTCGGTTGGTCTTATAGGAGTCGAACTCCAGATCCTGTGGATCTGAGTCAGATTCTCTAAGCACTGTGCCACTGGACTTCAAAATTTAGAAATTATTGTAAGGGAAGCTGAGATTTAAAACTTAATACGTTTGATTGGAATATGAAACTTGAGGATGCTTCAAACAATCGAGTTTTCTCTTTTTATCCTCTTTTAACCAAAGAGGTCTTCATAATTTTTTTTTATTTCACCTTCCATTTAATAGAGTCTCCGAATTTTCATAATTTTCATTTTTTTAAGCTTAAATAATAATTTGTGTACATTTTTTTTTGCTTAATTTTTGATTGGCAATCTAAAAGTATATATAAATGATCTTGATTATGGAACATCCTTTACTAACATTTTCTTCCTTCCTAAGCTGTGTAAAGGAGGGGTCATGTCTTATTCCAGAGTTTCAATCCAGATGAACTTCTCTGTGGCTTTTCACCTTGTAATTTTCAATATTTTTAACACACTCTCGTCCAAGTCCAAGTCTCTGATTCGAGTTTCGACCGTCCTCTCTTTCAAGTGCCAGTCAGTTTGGCTAGGAAAACATTTATAACTTCAGAATAATGCCAGGTTTAATGTATGGTCTAGTTAAGCAAACAATTTTACTCACTTTCGATTATATTTTTGAAAATTAAGGGTGCCAGATTCTCTCTCTATGCACAATAATTTGATTTGTAATGATGTTTATGACATGCAGCAAAAGGTTACCAAACACACCAAATAAAGAGAATAGAGCATAATAAATATTCCTATTTTTAAAAATATATATAAAGAAGTAATTGCTGTGTAAATTATTATATGAAGAAAAACCTTAATCTTAATATTTTTATGTGTTAAGTAAGTAATTTGTGTCGTTTGTTCTACATTATAATTACATTAATTTGTTAATAATTTTCACTATAAACAGCGCCACAAATTACATTAAACAGTCTTTAACATTTATTTGAAAGTTACAACTTCGCATTGCTTACTATTTTTTCTTAATGATCTATAAGAAACATACTGTGCGATAAATACAATAAATAATACACGATGATTTAGATACATAATTTGCGCATCTAAATAGCAGCTATATATTAAATAACCTATGCATACATATAACTATGGCGTATGAAAAGTAACCAAAATATGATGCCTCACTTATATTTTATAGTAAATAAAAAATATACATACAGACTGATTCTGAAGAAGAATTCATCACATCACTAAGATGGGGGTTCACCTCTAAAAGTGGTGAACCAGGTTCGAATCCCAGCAGTGGCTAGTTGATAGAAATTCTACTCCCGTCTCGTTTCGACGTTTTGAAGCAATTAATGCCTTTATTGTGTCTTCATCAAATTTGCGTGGAAAATCTTTTTTGTATAATATAACTCGGTCATGCCTATTTTGTATAATATAACAAACCTATTTTGTATAATATATCTTGGTCATAATTTAAAACATTAAAATTAAGTTAGAGGTTCTACTTCCCATTGTTTTCTCATGTTTTGTTTTAGATGCATAAGAATTATTATACAATTTATCACAAGACTTTTATTTCTACAAACCTAATCGGTAGAAATATTATCGACCATAATTTAAATCACGAAAATTAATTAAGAGGTTATGATTCACATTGTTTTTTCATGTTCTGTTTTAGATGCGTGGGAAGCGTTACACAAGATAATA